AAGGTCAAACGCAGGTATAATGGCTGGTAACCGAGATCTAGTGAACCAATCAGAAAGCTATAATTGCATTATCCGAGGTTGAGAATTTAATAATAATTATTATTAGTGCCAGAAGTTTTCCAGTTATAATTAAATTTCATCCCGCAACCTGCAACCTGCAACCTGCAAAATAAACCTGCCAAACTGGCTGCCTCAATATAGTTATATAGTTATTGAGATTCTGTTGTTATTGAGAGTCTTTCAAAGTCATGCGGCATTGTTCCAGAGAAAAAGCCAGAAAGCCAGAATTCCTGACACGATTGAAATGAAATTCCGCCCGCTAGTTTATGACACTCTTTATTCAGGTCAGTTGTGTAGAACTGATCTTTTCTCTCCAAAGCAAGTTGTTTTGTATTCAAGCAAAGTAATTTTGATTCAAGCGTCAATGAACAGTTCAATAATGTTTGTTATATTTTCCCCTAGGTCACCCTGTTAAACAAGCTAAAATAGAAGTGCAAGTAAGTTATTGTTTTGGTGCAGTGTTGTTCGTTGTGATTCCTTTTATCCCGTGGCTCGTATAGGGAATATTTTGAGGACTGTTCAATTCTGCACGGCTACAATTGAAACTACTTTGAAGAAGGTTCCAGGCGTTTGCCTCTCTGAACGAGACTGAGATCCAGCAGAGAAGTTTTCGAAAATTAGAGTATAACTCGCGAGTTTGCCCCCTTTGTTTCGGAAATTGCAGAGAATGCCATTTTATTCAGATATGGAAATTTCCGGAATATCGAATTTTTGGTTGGATGGCAGGCGCCCCTTCCCTTTTAGTACGCTTTGTCACCTGAGGTTTAACTGTGTCGGGAAACGTAGACTAAAAGGTCTGCAAAACGGCTCTCTTAGAATGTACTTGGAAAAGAATAGGCACGGAGCAACTATTATGGAGATAGGCACTAAATACCACAAATATGATAGGCCGAAAAAGGAAACTTTGCGAGCGCAAATATTCTTTCATTTTCCCCAGGTTTATATTTCAGCAATGGCGGAAAGTCAAAACACATCACCTTTTGATGTTAACCTGGATTTTGATGATGACACTTTAAAAGGTACTCTTAAGAACATTTCAATTTAAAACATATCTTTAAAAAATCGAAATTATTTAGGTCCATTGTTTATTGGAAACGTCTACAGGGCTCGTAAAAATGTGGTAGAACTTGAAACAAAACGGCTGATGCAATAAACGGTGAGTTAAAAGTGTTCACTTTAATATGGGAAAACGAAGATGACGCGTAGTTTGAAATCTCATGGAATGTACTTTTTTACAATATACACTGTATACAAAGTTACCTCACAAAGTTACTTAATTTCTTCATATATTTTTCGATTGTTCACCGACAACAATCAGGACTTATGGTTGGAATCGGAACCTGGGCCACTATTATATTAGTCACTCTGGTTGCTCTTTCTACGTATGTTAAGATACCATTAATGAACTTCGACGGATGCGAACAATCAAACAGCGAGATGTTTTGGTTTCGGGCATCCTCGGAGACTCAGAAGTAGTTGGTTGGGTAGGGCTGAGATAAACCCGGCGTAAAGTGAAGCGCAGAAAAATTACAAGTAAGGCAGAAAGAGCTCCTGGGAACTGAGTCTTTTTAGATTATTTCCATGCACAAATCCAGGATCCTGATTGGGCACAAAAAATCCTTTTTGTTTTTGTGCGTAATCCTGGCATGACACAGTTGGGTGCTCATGGGATGACAGTGTTTAAGGTTACTGTGTACCTTTAGAGGTTTTTCACGTCCAAGCGACGTAGCGCGTCTGGTTTAAACTGTAGAAACCTAAACCCCCATATCAAATAAAAGCTTATAGAGCTGGCTATCAAAATATACCAATAATTTTGAAATAAATAAATTGTCGAATTCTCCAGGACCTCTAAATTTGAGCGTCCGAATCACCTTTTGAAAGCTCCAAGGCGAAGCGAAATTTGTTTTTCGTTTATTTCATTTGTTCCTACGACAATTCATTTTCTTTCAAAATGTTTGGTACAGTGTAATAGCCAGATCTATAAACTTTAATGTGATATAGGGGTTTAGATATCTACAGTTTAAACTGGACGCGCTACATTTCTTGGACGCGAGACACCTCTAGAGATGCCCTGAAGGTATACGGTAACCTTTAGGAAAATATTTATTAGTGGTTATTGCCGGGAATTAATATTTCAAGCTTCTAGCCATTGCGTACTTTTTAGTAAGAGAAATGAATTATTTCATTTATGTGTTAGTATTAGGCATCTTTAGCAAGTTTTCAGTTATTTACTAAATCACCGTTTCTTTTTTTTAAGCGATAGCCCAAGTGTACAGTAACAGAGCAGCTGCTCATTTCCGTTTGGGTAGGAACTTAATTTATATTTTATACTGTGTTTATTACTTTTTTATTGATGCTGTAAAACTCAAAGCTCTTGGGAGTGGAAAGAGGAGTGACTCTGGGAACGTGGCTACACATTCAGTCCCCGAACCCCGCGCGATAAAAAATTACTTTTGTTTAGGTTTGATTTGGTGTTGCGCTACCACTTTCTCTTGGTAACTGTCCATAACAATTAAAAGCGTCTTTTTATTTATTTCTTATTGTTTCGGTCGTTTTTGACCACGAGTAAACCACTAAGTTGGTCGAATATAACTGACAGGTCGTGTACTTTATTACTTGGGATCCTTCGTCGTATATGAAAGATATAAGTCTTTTGAAAAGCTTTTTCCTTTTGTTGTGTCATTCGAGTTTCGAAGTAGCTCAATCATGGTTAAAAGTGTGCAGAAAAGATTACGTTTTGTTCTTGCCGTGTCCAGGCTAACTGTCATGTTAAATTTATCTGACTTATTTCATTTAAGACACTTGCAGGTAGTTATAATTTTGCTACTTGATTTTACCCTTTTCATTTCTGCAGCATGAGATGGCAAAATATTTGTTTTCTATTTGCTAGGAAATTTCCAGGAAACACTAAATGATGCAACAGCCGCTGTTACTTTGCAACCAACTTTCATTAAAGCCATAGAAAGAGGTAAGTTTTTGACGACCATTTTGTTGACCTGTGAAGTCTATATGAATGAGCAGAAAACCGTTGAGTTTAAGTTCACAAGGCTTGAATGAAGCAGTCAGCCGTAAGTAACAGGAAGACTTCTTGCAATTAAGGTTAGTCTGCCTTTCCTCTTATAACAATATCCTCTACTCTTACGTCCGACAGTTTGCTCGTGTACATCGTGCCTTTCTTGTTGTCACTATTCTGGTAACCTGTCAGAGCTAATAATAGTGTTTTAAGACATGTACAAACATTGATGTACCTTTTTAGGAGCAAGTGCTTGTGTAAAACTAAAGCGTTACGAGGAAGTCACGACCTGGTGTGATAAGGGATTGGCAGTATCCTTTGAAACATGCTGTTAAGTTCTTTTCACTCTTTAAAGCCACAAGTCCTGTCACCTTTTAGGATTATCTAGGGAAAAGTGATCCACAGTTAACCTAGCAGAAAACTGTGCTTTTATTAGAATATTGCCCATACCACATAATCTTTCCACCCAAATATATAGGCTACAGACCTTAACTCCAATGAGCTCCTTTTTCACGAGTGGATTAAGGATATCGATAAGAGTACATTCCTCACATGGGCCCTATTTCTAACATAATCACTATCAAATTATTTCAACGCTCTTTGGGTCATTTTAGGCGCCAGATTTCCCGAGACAGTCCTATGACAGCCTAAGGCTTCAAGTGATTTTCTTCCTCCATGAGCCACGCACGCGGTAGCATTATCTTTGGGAGAACTTAGCCTGGTGAGGGGGTAAAACGGGGAAGAAATGGGGGAGAGCGGCGATCGATGTAAAGAAGAGGAGGGGGGGGTGGGGGAGGGGGGACCGCGGGGGCCACGTGGACGCCGGAGAGAAGGAGAACGCCTGCATAAGAGTCCCATTTTGTTCATTTCCGCTGGCGCTGGCGGCAGGAAAATTCCCATCCTTTGCTCAGCCTTACAGTTTAGAAAGATTCGTTAGCTGGTTGAGCTTTTAATTTATCCTGAGGGAATTGTAATCAAAATTTATGTGAGCACAATTCTACTAGTATACTATTGCAAATTAGTCAAATTCAAGTAGCTTATTGGCTGAACTATCGCACACAGTTAGTCATAAGTGTGTGAAGGGTGGAATCGTCCATAAATTGGTGAAGTTTGGCAACAGCTTGTAGAGGGTACCTAGCATAAAATATAGAGAGCCTCTTGCTGTTATCTATTGTTTATTTCAATTATTTACCGCTACTCCCCCTACTTTTTTCAATTGGTGTTAAGTTTAGACCAGGCTACACTCGTCTGAATTTCAGCTTGCGTGGTGACTCTGAGAAGGAGCCGACCGATTAGCGTTCTATAAGTGCTGTCTAAAGGAAGTCTGCCCGAGGACATCATTGAGTCCAATGAAGGCGCAAGTCTAACGATTTGCTAGCAAGCGTCGTCCACTATCATACATCGAACGGTCCTGAGATGTATTAAACGGGGCGTCATTTAGCCCCGTAATAGTAGGCCGTTTGCACTGTAGCAAAAAAGTTGTGCTTGCTTTAGACAGCAAAGAGATTTAGCCACATCAATTTAGGGCTTAGACTTGCAATGTACAAGACATTTCTAGTTGATGTTGGCGTTATTTGCTCTGAACTTTGATGTGGCTAAAGACTAAAAATCTGGCTAAAAATCTGTTGAAGTAGGTATATGACAGTTGACATTGCTATTTGTGGGCAAAACATGGCCACGAGCAGAGTGAAGAACATGAGGTCAAGCGCTGATCGTGAGTAGAATTTCCTTGCTTTATCAAGTTTAGGCGTTCTCAGCCTAGCTAACTATCAGAACTGTCTGTAATTCGCTAGCGCGGAAGAAATTTATATGCGTGGCTTCCGGTCGATAATTGACGTAACGACAACATGTTGAGTGTTCCCTAACTCATAATTATGGCCTAGTTTGTTTGAAGTTCAACCGATTCTCGATGTAGGAAGCTCTTGCAATTTGGTTAGTCCATTTAGGACGATGCAGCTATAGATCAGCTAGAGATCAGCTCTCCGCTGTACGTTCGTGTTGATTTAGAATCCAATTTCATGTTAAAAGCGCTCTTAATTAAATTGTACAATTCATGATTCAATCAAAAGACGGTGAATTTAGTCTTCCTGGCCTCAAGAGGCATATAGGGGAGTTTTGTTTGTGGAAAGCTATCTCTAGGAGAGAATTGTATCAAGATTATCAGTAACAGGTCAAATTCTGTGGCTATGGTTTTGCAAATCCAGATAGATATATATGACTGGTTTTAAAAGGTGCTTCTAGAAAAGTGCCTTCTTTTGCACTGAGTGAGCTACACCCTTGGATTTCAGGTCCTCTTAAGGCCTTTAAATCACTCCAAAGCGATCATAGAAGATAAATAAATGAAAAAGAACACAAGAAAGAATAACAGAGAGTGTAGCTAAAAATGCTGACGTTGTTTGAATTTTTTATATTGTCCACTTTCGAGTCTATACCACGGTGAAATTTCTTTTAACACCCTTTTTATTTGTGATGCTTCTGGAACCAAAATAAAGCATTTACGGAACGTTAATGCTTATATGTAGATTTAGCCAAGACTTAAAAGCGGAGTTCCTGGGCCGGGTTGTTCAAATTAAAGCCAAATCAAGCTAATCCAGGAGAAGCGAAAATTTTGCTTGAGTTTTGCACCATGCAGCCTTTTTTTTCTCCTATTTTGTTTTTGCTCTTTTTGCAAAACATAAAGATAAAATATCTAAAATGTAACTGAATTTGCAAGTTGTTGAATTGCTGACATTTTCCGCGCTTAGGCTGACGCAGGTAACTCGAAAATGAAATTTCACCTCCTTAGCGACGCTCGCGAGCGCGCGCATAAATCGGTTAATGGGCCCTCAAAAACCCAGAATTTAAGATGAATGACAAGTAATGTATTTTATTTGTCGTTATTATCCATATCCATGACCTTTTCATAACACTGTGTTACGTGACTTGACCACAAGAAGATTGACAACAACAACAAGACATTAGTTGATTTACGGACCAAGTGTGTCAGTGAACCTAATACATTACAAGAAACAAAGAGACAGAACATGAAGAGAATGCCTGTCACTCACACTGCAACAGGCCAGGTAAACATTGTTACTATAAAAGGAGGATTGGTGTAAGAAAATCGTATTGAAGCTTTCATGGGAAAGCGGAACACCATCGAAATAATTTTGTTTTCTACCCTCTCGTATATCATCCCTCCAGTAAATGTCTAGTCCTATATAAAAAAAAGACTCACCAGCGAAAGTCGAATGGGATTTTTAAACAGAAAGCTACAATACACAAGAAGAGTGCCGCGGGTAAAAGGTTTTCCCAAAGTGCGAAATCATCCAGTCAAAAAGATGGTATTTATAAAAACTGAGAAAGCTATTTTATGTTTAACAATTATTCGCCAAATGCGAAGTAGACATTGGTAAATATTTACCAATATATTTACCAATGCTCACTGAGCTTGAGCCAAATAACTGTTTTAGTACAATTTTCAGAGGTGAATATCAAGAACTACAAAATAACGGACTGAGACACAAAACCACAGACGTGATTATTCGCCTGTTTTCTCATATACAGCCGTCGTAAGCTTTACTCATCGGGTTAGGCATTGAAACATAAAAGCAAAACTCTGCGAAAAATAAATTCATCCGTTACCTTTGTTATATCGTTGTTAACTTCATTCCCAGTTTACTCACCGTCTAAACAGGAGTAGCTTCAGTTTCAACAAAACTAATATTCGATCACTTGATCTGACCTGCTGGCGATCAACGAAACCACTGCGTTTACGATTCTTAGAAGCCTCGAATACGAGCTTTTGAAAACATTTCTTGTCTAAGGGCAGCAACAATCATTTTAGAACTAACCCATGATTTCAAATATTCCGAACCTGGAGTGATGTCTTTCAAATCAATATACTAAAATTTCATTCAGCAACTGTCCGCCATGTTTACTTGCCAAGATGGCAAAGATACTGCGCTTAGTAACCAAGCTTTGGAAATGTAATATTGGCCGCCTGGCGCGGTGAATATAGCGTCCAATTCTTATATTCACCTCTGTAGGTTAATCGAAAATATATGAGTACAAGTTGATCTTGGTGTTTTAAGCAATCTGATTGGTTCGCTATCTCTGGCTATTAAATTCTCAACCTCGAATATTCATGCAAGTCAAGCTTTCTGATTGGTTCACTGTATCTCGGTTACCAGCCATTATACCAGGGTTTGACTTTATATAGAAATGATTGCGGTAAATGTCGCTCGGCATACAATTTTTCTGCGGGAAGCCAAATTGCGTCGACAAAAAATGGATGAAAAACAAAAACAGACTAGGTGAGCCATCTACAGACGAAATATAAAAAATTACGGAGAATGCCGCCCCAGTAACAACGAGAAAGCCACAAAGATCGGAATGAGATAAAATTTCAAAGATGAACGTCGAGGTTGTTTTCATTCATGAAGATTACGTGACAACAGCAATTTTTACCTTAATGTTACTGAATGGCTTGCTTGTCCTGGTGGCACCAAATTTTTGAAGAAGAGATGTCGCAAGAAGAACTGAATGTTTTTCTGAAGAGTTTTTACACGTCTACGCAGAAGAAAGATGGCAAGTCAGTTTACAGAAGTCCACGAATGAAATCCATCTGAGAACCACCATTCATCATTTCCTTCGCTTGACGCTGCCCAACAAACCGTTTTCCATTATCTCTGACTCCGCTTTTACTGAGACAAATAAAGTATTAGAACATTTGTAAAAGAACTCACGAAGACGAGCAGCATTGCCGACGTAGTCCATAACAAACCAATTTCGAATCAGCAGATGAAGGAACTGATTCGACAGCGGCGAACTCGGACCGTCAGAGAGCAAAATCCCGCACAGCTACAGAGGACGACCTGTTTTACCTCTGTCTCTTTTCTTGCCGACGAGGACGAGAGAATCAACGCCAGCTAGCGCCAACAATTCTGTCCTTGTGAACCGAAGTCGGCCCGGTTCTTTACCAGCCACGAAAAACCATCAGGGTGGCCTCGGAGAAACTGAGGATGAATCCGACGCTAAGATATTTTCTGTCGCTGACTCTGAAACAGGCCAGCAATCAGCTCCACACATCCAGCTCGAAATGCCAAGGCAGTCACAGCAAGGGAACGCTGAAAGAGTTCTTGTCGAGAACAATTTTGGCACAACGTCTGTGTCACATGGCGATCAAAGTTTTCTGCAGTATTTTTACAACTGCAACTGTGCAAGTGCATAATTATTACTTAGCTCTTATTAACCGAGCGGGAGGTCTGTATGGGAGAATCTTGATCGAGGTCGCCAGTACAGACCGAACGCAGTGAGGTCTGTACCAGTGACCGAGGTCAAGATTCTCCCATACAGACCGATCTAGCTCGGTTAATAAGATGTTTATTATATGGCCAAACAATAAAGCAAAGGAACAAAAACATAAATAATTTTATTTGCTTCCCTGCGCGGGCTCAAGCATTTAGCTGGCTTTCTTATGTCACTAGTCTCCAGTCCAAACGGGACAAAATAACTTTCAAAGTCCAGCTTTGTACAAACTTCGTCAATGAAGGAATACAAAGTTTTTCATACAAGCTCAATGAAAATGCTTGTGGTTGAAACCACAATTCATGAAAAGTGACCAAAAGTGCAACTGTAATCTAAGTAATGCCTGTTTGTGCCTCGATCGCTCAGCGCTCAGTTCTCATTCAGCCTTGCGATCTTCGCCTGATCACCACAGAAAACGTTGATGTTGAATGTGCAGCCTTCGAACTTGTCAATATGCGCTCCAGCAAAAATTGCCTGAGGCTGGATTTCTTGGACTGTGAAGACATTTTGCTGTGTTGTAGTGGAGGTACTGACTTGGTTTTCTTCGGACTGAGAGGATGTACCTGGCTGACGATTCAGGATAGCAGACATTTCTCGCTGTCGCTTCAGAGATGCTGAATGGTAGCTGTCGAGGCTTTTCAAATTTTTATCACCGCTTAGCTGTGCAACGAAGTTTGGCTGAACATCTGCTTCGAGAAGTCGTCCAACACTGGTCTTTCCGACGGAGTGATTAGAAACCTTCTTCTAGTTTGTGTCATCGAGTTTGGCTGCAGCAAAGGCGTCTTTGAGGAACTTGCCAATTTCATTCTTTCCGAGGGGCCTGTCGAGATACCATACTTTGTCGTTTGGTTTTCGT